ATTTTTGAGACGAAATACCCAAAAAGAAGTTTGTAAAAAAACATTCTGGTCACTGGCGGTGAAACCAAATTCGACGCCAATTGTGAATCACCCTGTATAACAGTAATCGCAGTTTTCAATTAAATAGATCTGCAGCGAAACAATTCCTTGCATCATGATTCGAACGCTTCTAATGCCCTTCTTACAATGCGGCGAACATTGATTGACTTAATGATAAGCGTTTAGCTCTGCCGTAATTATTTTATTGTTGTTCTCAATACAAATCGCCGTCATTTTTCACGCAGCCCTCCTAATAGAATCGTGCCTGGCCTGCAGCTCTAGGTGAGCCGTAATGGAGCAATAAACTAATTGTTTATTGTTGCCGTTGTGTGTTTTAGATGCAAATCAGTTGCTAAACCAGCAACCATGAGTTTTTTCACTGGTTGCCCCCAGAGTTTTTCCCAAATGGGTTTTCAATGGTCGCGAAGCGGGCAAAGCGCACGAACCAAAACCGACGACGGGTTTTTTTTTGCATTTTTATGGCGGCGACGCCTAAGACAAAAGGATGACAAATTGCCGCGCTTTAATTAGAAACATTCCATAGAAAAATCCTCAACTTGTGAGCTCTTTTTACGACCGCCTATATATTAGACTGGGGGGGCATTTGATGATTTATATGGGACAAAACTGGAAAAAATCATGTTATATTTTTACTAAGGCCATATTTTATCTCAACTTCCAGTTCCAAAGTTTCTCTGAAAAGCTAGGACGACTAGTTGAGTGATGGCTTTTCGCTTTGACTGCAGGCCAGGACTTTGGCTGTGAACTGAGGTGAAGGATTTGATTAATTTTCAGTAGCAGAACAGTTTCTTTACATTTTTTGCCTTTAGGGCGCTCTTTGAACGTTTTCTGTGAATCGTTTTACGTTTCCAGTAAAATCTCCCAAAAATTACTGCTTTGTTTGTGTGGTCCTATATGCTAAGCAAATAAAACATACACTTACTGTGTAGTTTTCAATTCTCCATCTTCTAGAGCAACGACTTCTTTTCCATTCAACTCAGTCATTAAAAGTGATCGATTACGTCGCACCACTCCCATCCTACCGACTGCGCCATTTTTACTCTGAAAATAAAATGCTAATTTTAGAAACGAGATTTCAACATTTTCCTCTGGATCTCCGCAAAACTAGTGCTGCAGGCGTTTTTAGCAAAACACTTTTTTGGGGCGTTGTTCATGTTGCTCAACCGCCCCACTCTTAGGCTACTGACTGCGCCAATTATGCCCTAAACAAAAATTGAGTTTCTTTGAAACATTTAGCGACAAGACTTTGCATTTTCCGTTAAATCTACATCAAATTTTCCTTTGGCGGATTAGGCGCAGGAGTTTACCTTTTTTAAAGACCTTGATGCAGTCGTTTACATGATTTTTGTATTCATTTAGTCCAAGCAATTTTATTCTGCTGGGAAATTGAAAGTGAAATTCTCTAAGAAAGTGGCCGGAAACTGTGCCGTCCCCACGACCCTGGATTAACAGAGAAAAAACACTGTTTTAGGTCTAAATTGTCATTTTCTTTGCCCGAAGGGTTCGGCGCAACTTCTGCTTCAAACTGCTTCGAGCCCTTCGAGTACGACACTGGACCAACAAACATTTTAAAGGTTGCAAGTTCCGCCAACTGCTGTTGTTGCTTAATCATTCACTCATCGTGCAGACAGTCTGATCCCAAAGGCGTCGTCGTGGCAACCGCTTCAAAACACGGGCACTGTTGCAATTTCCTCAAGTTTCCCTTGAACCATCCCGTAAACCTGGGATTTGAAACGGCCGTCTGGAAAACACCGCTTTTCCAATCAATCCTGAAGCTTGAATCTGAATAAACCTTCCTTCGGCAGGTTCTAATGATGATCGCATCGCCCTTCCGCCCCTATGTAAGGGCACGCACCAGCTTCACGAGAAAAAGGGCCCGGTGAAATTCGATCCTAAATAATTCCCCAATTTGAATTTAAATGGTCCCTTTCGCCCTGATGTGCGTCTTCGATTACTTGCCCATCAAGAGCGGAAAAACGCGTAACCCAAAACCATCTGGGTACATTTTGAGATCGAGTTTGTGAATTAATAGACAGGCGGATTGCTGATGAGAGCCATGAATAGGCAAAGAGGTAAAGTAAATCGTTAGCGACGTTTTCTTTCTATGCGATTGAATAAAATGGAGCAATTTGTCCGGATCTGATAGCTCCGATGCCCCGAAAGCCATAAAATATAAAATTCTAGTTACTGCAACCTATTTCATTTTAATAGGATGGCATTTCGTAATTTAATGGTGTGTTTTATCGGCCTTTTGCTATATTCACTGCCTGTTAATATCTGTCCTCTATTCAGATAGGGCGATTTTCTTCGGTATTAAAGGGCAAGGCTTTATAAGTTTATGCAGGGTGGTCCTCAACTAGTGTGACCAAATTTGCTAAGTGTTTAGTCAAAAACTTCTGTGTAAGCAATAGATTGCACCAAAATATTGCGTTTTAGGCAAATTTGTGTTCTATCTATCTATCTAGTTTCCGAGGAATTAATTATTGGAAATGTTTGTTGTGTGTTGTATGTTTGTTGGAGTCTGGCGCACTTTGATTGCTCATATTTGCCCGGGCTGTATTTAAAAAATCGTCAAAAATCAACGAAAACCTACCAAAATAGCGCGTTTCTCGGCATGAGTAAACCAAAGTGCGCTCTTTGCAGTGCTGTAACAAGCGTCGCTCTCTCTTGTCTGGTTGCCGATAAATTAATTATTGAAAATCAATTTGTTATAACTTGCCACATTCCGCTTGCTCACATGTGCGCGTCTATATTTAAAAAATCGTCAAAAACGAACGAAAACGGCCATTTAAGCGCATTTTTTGGCTCTAGTGGAGCACAATGCGCTCTATACAGTGGCTCAACAGGAATGTATATGCTTTCAGTTCAGTTTTCGAAAAATCAATTTATTTCTAGCCAACAACCCTTTGGCTTACTCCTAAATGTATAAATAAATGTAATAAATATTTTTCAATTCAGCCCCCGGTTCGATTCACTTCAATTTTCTATCAATTGAGATTGATACTTTTAACAGGCCGACCGCTGTTTCTACATTCTATTCGTGACGATCAGCTAGGCGAGTGGAAAAAGTGTTACAATACAAAAAACAGATCCAATTAATCTCTGCTAGGCGTGTGATGTAAAGTATTTATCTTGCGCCACTTGGAAATGGCCTTTTACGTTCTCGATGATGTAAATTGCCCCGTTATGAAACAGCAATGGGTCCGGCATCTTTTCGATTTTTCCTCTGCTGGCCCAAAAATAGCCCATCAAAACACACAGAGAAACAGATAAAACTGTCGCACGTTTCCCGTTCATCAAGTTCAATTCGCGTTTCATTTCCATTTCGAGCAGTTACCCTTAACGATATCCGGTTTCCAGGGGGACCCTATTAAAAAGTTACCTTTCCCCGAACCGAGAAACGGCAAAGATAAATATAGATCCATTAAAAAGTCCTCCATAAACGTGTATCCCCATGCCGTGCCACTTTGAATCTAAACATGTATTTTTCTTGTCTAATTCAAAACACTCTTAGCGCCCCTAAAATTCGAACATGTGTCGACTCTGGATGGCATCTGATGCCGATTTACGACACCCAACGAGCTTCTAGAAGGGTTTTAGGGTTGGCTGATGATCGAAATAGCGTTTTATTTGAAAGATTTTTTTAATTGGTATTCGATTTCA